AGACCAGGCTGCCCAGGGCCCCATCCAACCTGGCCTTGAGCACCTCCAGGGATGGGGCATCCACAACCTCTCTGGGCAGCCTGTGCAGCACCTCACCACTTTCGTAGTAAAGAATTTCCCCCTGACATCCAACCTAAATCTTCCTTCGACTTAAAACCATTTCCCCTTGTCCTGCTGTTATCTACCCTTTCAAAGAATTGATTTCCCTCCTGTTTATAGGCTCCCTTTAAGTACTGAAAGGCTGCAATTACATCACCCCACAGCCTTCTTTTCTCCAGGCTGAACAAGCCCAGGTAGGTAAATAGCAGAGTGGACTTTGTAAAACAAAATGTACAATAGCAGACAGAGATCTTCCTTAGATAATAATGCATCTTTCACCAATAACTGATGGTGAAGGATGAAACTGATGAAACTTTCATCTATCAATCCCCAGCACAAGCTTTTAAAATCTCACTCGGCACTAAAAGGTAGAGGCATCGCACCTGTGCTCAGAATGGTTCTTAAAACTAAGAAAGCATTCTGTTTGGAGCAGAAAAAGAAGTTTACAGAGCTCATTATTTCTTTAAGTGGGATATGCATTATCTGCTGATTGAAAATAGTTCTTTAATTTCGAACTCTGCCATCTCTTCAGGTTTTGCTTTGTTTGCAGTTAAAGTGTGAGAGACCATCTCTTCCTATGATGGTTACAGTACAGAATTGTATGCTTGCAAACAGCCAGCTTCATTAAAGAAGAAACGATATTCAGTATTTTTAAAATATTTTCTCCAAGTATTTCTACAAAAAAAAAAGAAAAAAAACCCTAAAAATTCCAGGACAAAATCTTAGATTTAGATGGTTATCTTAGAATCAGTGTATTTATGCATTCAGGGATCTAGGGCTGCTGGATTTTTCCTAAGGCTACAAAACTAAGTAGTTTTAGAATAATGCTAAATCGTGGCTGTTGGTAATAATCCTTGACCAACTACAGAGATTTACTTGGTTCTTGGTGTACATTGCTTATCTTGTCACATAGATAATTGGATACAGAGTTCCCCATCCTAGTAATCAAAGGTTTGCCAGATCTTTTACAATGTTCTGTAGACAGAATGTGAAAAATAACAGAAACCAAGACATTGAGACCAAATTTTACTTTGGTAACCTCCAGCTGGTTGTCCATCCACCTACTGTCATTCTAAAACCAGATACTGTTCACAGAAGCTAAATATTGTCCTCTAAAACCACATGCAAGAGAAAATTTTCAAATTAAAAAACCTTGAAATTTTCTTCAATTAATATAAATAAAGAAAATAGAGTATTAGTATTCAGACGATAAACTACCTCTTCTAAAGCCTTTCAGTTAAGTCATTTTAACCACAGATTTTATGTCATAGATCAATGTTTAACACCTAATTCTTAATTTCCAAAGGAAGTGAAAGTCTAGTTTAGATTAACTAATTGCATTTCTGATTTTGATCCAATTAAATCAGACATCTTCAAAAGATATATGGATATTTAAGAAATCTTATTACTCAGATTCTGAATTCTGATACAGAATTATGGAGGGGAGGGTGGGGGGAAGAAGAAAAAGAAAAGATCATTTGAGCAGGAAGGAATTTAGAAGTGAGAAAACATCACTGTTAACACCTAAATTCAAGACTTTTGTGACTACAAATTTTCCAGATGTTGTTACTGATTGCTAGGCTTTACCAAGCACTACTGATTAGTTCATTAAATAAATGTTTCATTAAAGAAAGCAATAAAGCACACAAATGCCTGTATTTCTAAATAGACACTATTTCACTAGATCACTAAAGTCTGAATGAAAGTTAGCCTTTCAGTAGATGCATAAAACACTGCCTGATGCTCAACCAGAAGGGTGAGACAAACCTTGCTCCTGGTAGAAACAGTGCCAAAGGTATTCTATTAGTTCCCTTCCAGCAGGCAAAAGCTTGAATTGTCGTAAGAGATGACATGAGCAGGGAAATGTCTAACTTGCAAATAGTAAAATAAATAAATAAATAAATAAATAAGCACCTATTTCCTCTGCTGTCTTGAGCTTTTTGGTATCCAAAATGTAGGCAAAGATTCCTCTGTCTTTAACACATGCTTACAAGAATAAAGAATGCATTTCTATCTGTAGTAATCATTCTACTCCATAGAATGTGGCCACTATCAAGTAGAGATTACATCCACCTTCACGTGGCAGATGTAACTGGGAGCCCTATCATACTTGCTTGCTGCACAGGAATTATTTCCTGCAATGTGCTGAGTTTTACACAGCAACAGCAACATGCAGGAGTGTTTAGCACATCCATCATATGACAGAGACTGGAAGTCTGTGGAGAAGAAAAACAGTCCAGTAGCGTTCTAGGAGCTTTGTGATAAATTCTCCAATGTCAAAGATAGTGGCAGAAATCTGAAACCCTGAAAGAGATAATAAAGCGGCTTGTGTGGAGATAAGCAATGTAATCACAGACAACACTTGGATGGTTGGACGAGGTCATCTTTTCTAGAGGTCTTTTCCTGCCTTAAAGACTTTAATATTCTACATTGGTGCAAGATAACATGGGGCAGAGTTTAACAGATGTATTTGTGGGCTCCCCTCCTTTCAGAATGAGGAGTTTGCCCAAATCAGCAGCTCAATTGGTGCTACACAGTATGCTTGAGCTTCTGTGAAGGTGCTGAGGAGTGGCTTAGCTGGTTTCATGCTGGAAAACATCTAGAGGACTTACCATTCCTAACTCTCATCCAGTCAGCAGCCTGAGTTCAACAAGAAATTGTTGAGCACATGTAAAAATTATGCTGGTAATTGTTTTTAAGTGATTTCTCTAGAGGTAGCATAGAGGTAAAAAGTCTAAATGCTCACCTTAAACATATGCCTTTTTCTCTATTAAGTTTCCTCTAGTGCTCTTCGTGTGATAATTACTGTTTCTAAACTGCTAATTAAGCTTCTGAAGACAGAAATGCTTGATTGTAGTGAGTTTCAAAACACTGGTGCACTGGGAGAAGGATTTTATCCTTGAACTCCACCTGAAGATCAGCACTTCAGAGTTGTTATACAGCATCATTTGATCAATCCTACATGTTTTTCAAAACCATCTTTCAAAACCCATTTCTGATCAGAAATGATTTCATATCATGCGAGGCTGCGATTTGTAAGGAGAAATGTCATGGCTAGGGCCTTAGTTCTCATCTTTTCATAGAAAGACTTCTGTTGGAAAGGACCTCAAAGACCATCTAAATCCAACCCCCTGCTGCAGGCAGGAAGGCCAACCACTAAATCAGACACTAAATAAGGCTGCCCAGGGCCCTCTCCAACCTGCCCTTGAGCACCTCCACGGATGGTGCATCACAGCTTCTCCAGGCAGCTGTGCCAGCACCTCACTACCCTATGACGAAAGCAATTACTCCTAATATCTAATCTACACCTCTCCTCCTTTGTTACTCTTTGCTATGAATCTGTCTGCCTTTGAAATCTCTGCCTGAAAACATGAAATCGTGTTTGGTCCCAGAAGACCCTCATCTCATCCCAGAGCAGTTAATACCATCTCAGAATTATGCTCCCTTTTTTCAGCCTTCTAAAAATGTTCTCCAAAATGCTGGAAGTAGTGCAAAGCAGATAGAGTAGCAGAAAAGGTGAGCACACCTTCCCACTTTTCCTATTGTGAGATGGGCCTCAGTCATTTGTCCAAAGGACAGCATTTGGGAGGTAATAGTTAGGGCTGAGAAACCTGAGAAAGGTACAAAGCACCCAACACAGACATAAAAAATGAACAATTATAATAAGTCTGTAAGCTTGTTACGTGCAAATTTGTATTGAATTCACATGTACTATGCTGATCTGCAAGTACTGGGCAATTGTACCCAATCATTTTTGGGTAATGCTGAAATGTGACATGCAAGTTTGTTACATAAACTAACGGATACACACTGCAGGGTAGTTAAAAACATGAAGAATTGGTTTTCTTTGCCAATGATAGATTTAGGCATATGTGTTTGAAATATTTGTGCACTGATAAACACAACTGGCTTTCGGCTGATCTGACGCAGTGCTTGGGGGGGTTGGGTTGTCAGTGGAGTACAATAGCTGAACCTTTTTCAAAAAAAAATCATGATATTTTTGTGTCAGCCTTCCTGTCCAAGTTGCCAACAGCAGGAAGCCCTTTATGAGCAGAAACACCTGTGGATTTTTCTCATTTTTGTGTGCATACCTCAGTGTCCCAAAGTGCATTCCTTGCCTCGTGACTCCTTGCACAAGGTCAGACTTGGCCCTATTGTTTTGTGAGACCATGGGGCAAACATTCGGCCTTCGGGCCCCGTCGATGGGAATTCTTGCACGGGGTTAATTACAGCAGCATTTTAAATAGTTATCAGAAATCACTCTTGAAAAACACGTTGGAGATTACAGTTCAGGTTTTATCACAGAGCAACTTCAATAGTGAGCAGCAGGGTAGGGTTGGCCTGGGGCTTGCTGTACCCCCAGCTCACGCCCTGTTGTCGGGAGCAGGGCGGGCACAGGCCGTCACACCTGGAGAGGTCCTGTTTTGTTGTCGCCGCCTCAGACGGTATCTTACACGCACATCACGTTCCGTGTATTGACGCTGCCTTTGTGGTTCCAAGCACGGTGTAACTATTGATCCCAGCAGCGGAAAAGATAAAGAACAAAACAAAACTGGGGCCTGGGAGCTTTCATTTACGAGGTTGGAGAGCTCCGCCAAGCTTCCCGGTGCTCGTCGGGCGGTGACGGCCAGAGGCCCAGCTCCTCGCCCTCCGACGGCCGCAGAGAAGCCCTGCCCCGGGGCGGACAAAGGCGGGGAGGCGGGGAAGCGCCGGGGGGCCGGGCGGCGCACGCCCACCGCGAAGCTTGGCGGAGCTCTCCAA